TTTACCGTACTGACAAACGAACCTTGCCAAGAGATGGCTTGGGTGTTGGTAATATCACAAGGGCCTGTAGGAAAGTTTACAGAATTGAAGAAGAAAAAAATTTTGTGAGAGACTACTAGCGCCCCCTGTGGTCAAAGAGTAATTAAATGTCAAACTATGGACTTTAGAATGCTTCTACGTTGATATCTTTAGAGAGTTTGAATCTTTGGGCAAAGTTACATGACTATTATTTTGATATCTTGATCAAACTAAACGTAACATAAAATCATTCCAATAAGGTAAACCTGTATAGCTATTGTTGTATGGAAACATTTTATTAACATCTTAAACAAAAACATTGGAAAAATATCAAGACAGAATGTGGAAAATCAGAATCGCGTCTTCTTCATATTACACATTATTATTATTATTATTATTATTTTTGTAAAAAAAGGATGCAAATGGAACACTAAAAACTGACATGATAAAAAGAAAACATAACATAACTGGGTGTACGTTCCCAAAAACTAAATTAGAAAAATTCAATAACTGCAGTATTCATTATTTCATTCAAACAACAAATAGCTTTTCAATAACGGGGGCAAGGGAAGTTGTTTAATGGGGTTCGATATAGGCAACTCACACAAATGCCTCCGAATTATAATTCTCGATTGGTGTTTTAGAGACGCTGGTGTGACACACGCAGACGATAATATGGCGCGCTGCATCTCGGGATATGACCTATCTCGAAGTATTTTTTCGGTGTCATAACACTCTGCAGCTTCAACCAATAGGTTCAAAATGTTTGGCTTTGTCTGAATAGAAACCAAATGTTTTAGTACACCATAAGGGTCTAAGAGACGAAGCATTTTTGTCGGAATCTTGAAATGCACCCTGGCGCCGTGTTTTACAAGAAGATGCACAATTTCATACTCCGGAATCTCTGCATTTGCTAGGTACTCCACGAGCGGCGTCAAACCTGGGATAGCATAGGAAATTCGTTCATTGTAAAACAGGGGATTTGCACCATTTTCCAAAAGAAGCTGAATTATTTCTTGTCTGTTGCGCAAGCGCGATGCAGCACATGCAACCAAGAGTGGCGGGCAGTCCTCTTCATTTGGCTCGTTGACGTCTGCACCGTGTTTTATTAGATACCGGCAAACTTCCGGTCGACCGTGTACAACGGCTGTATTCAGAGCCCCTCCACGGAAATTCTCAGGTCTTTTCAAACTAGCACCCGCCTCGACGAGAATTTGTACCATCTTCATACAGCCTACTAAAATTGCAATGTGAAGAGCTGTTTTCTGTTCAAACCGTGGTGGACACTGCATGTTGACATCTGCCCCGTATTCAATCAAGAGTTTCAGAGCGTCTGGTTGCCGTTCCTTGCAGGCTTTCATTATTGGCGTGATGCCACTTCGACTAAACACGTTGGGATTGGCTCCATACATGAGGAGCAGCTCAAGGCACTTGGTGTACTCCAGGGGCACAAGGTTAATCTCTGCACCGAGGATATATTGGTTTTCTGGGTTGGCACCATGTTCCAATAACAATCTCACACAGTCTACGTTGTTGTTCTCAATGGCAAGGTTCAAAGGTTCCAGTGTTAGGTACCCTATAGTTTGTAAACCTTCCGGGATATCCAAACCTCCATCGCAAAAATTCACTATCGCTCCGTTGTCTATGAGAATCTGCATTGTTTCATAATGGCCATGTCGTGCACACAAATGTAGTGGCGTATACCCCACGTCATCTTGAGTATTGACGTAAGCACCCCTGTCCAAAAGAAACGTAACGTAAGTTGCATCATTGATGTACGCAGCGTAGTGCAGTGGCTTCAGTCCCTTAGAGACCGGTGCGTTTACTTCAGCACCTGCTGCCAAGATGCGTTCGATATCTGGTAACGGAGCCTTGCAGGTTATGGCATCGGCCAAAAGACGTTGAATGTCCATAGAAACCGTGTCTGTAAATAAGTACTCTTTTAATGTGTCGGGCATTTCTAGTTGCTTTTTAAGTGCTTTGATTTGTTCGGCAGACAGGAACTTTTCTTTGGGATCGTCTACGACTTTTGCAAGTGTGGCGTCTGTAAGAGAAGCATTTTTTAGTTCTTCACACGCAGGTGTTTTAAAGGCACCCTTAAGGTTGTTCTGGTTTGAAGCATTTCCACCTGGCTCTTCTTCACCTGATAACTTCTGCTGCTCTTGTGCTCCAATGGGACTGTCAGTTCCATCGTCTGTGCATGCGTCGTTTGGGGCATTCCTTATCTCCTGCAGCACACTCTCTGGTACTTGCTCACTGCTTTCTATCACTGAAGAACTGGCGGTCGCGGTGGCTGATTCGTTGTCTAATCCAGAAGTGTTTGTTTCGCGATTCCACTCATCCGTAGCCAATGCAGAATCATATTCCATGTCTGATGAACACGAACGGCAGGCATTTTTTAATTCCTGCACTGTTTCAGACAGTGAGTCAAGTCTGCTTGAAACATTGGCAAATGGCATGATATTGTCATCCTCGTGCCCAGGTGTTTCCGTTCCCTGATGTGACTCTTGCGGGTGCTCTTCTTCGTCGTCAGAGAAAAACGAACGACACACCCTTTTGAATTCTTCTATTCTGTCAGACAATTCATCAAACCAAAACGGAGAATGTTTTTCCTTTTCGTCGGATGATGGAGCAGTGTTACTCGGCGACATTTTAGTACTTGTCTTCATTGAGTTCAAAACATCTGTTACTCCTGAAGCTGTAGGCATGGGCTGTGCACTTGTTTCATTCACTGAATTAATTGCCAACTGTTGTGTAGTTTCGTTCTTTGTATCAACTGAGACAGCCGATTTTGACGCTGTGCCTACACAAAGTGAGTCTCTCTGCTGTGACAATGATTCAGTAGCTGCGGTAGTTGAGACAGTGGCTTGCGGCTCTACTGCATTCTTTGCATTACCCTGGACTGGAAATTGCTGCAGCGTGTCGCTCATTTCGTCAGCAATGCCTACAAGTATTGGCGAGGTTCTATTTACCGTGTTGGACGATAGTATTGATAAGGACGAACTATCGCCAGAGGAGCCACTGTATTCATGGCAGTTTTTAAATTTACCACATTCTGACTCAGTTTCATCCCTTGTCTGAACCGACTGTCCTATTACATCTGTCAAGAAAGAGGCTCCATATGCCTCATCGGAGGCCACATCATGTATTATGGAGGCTCCAATTGGTGCACGTAAGTCATCAGGCATATTAGCATTATTCGACTGATTAATTAGAGCTGATAATCCCGATACACCCATTTGGCTTACACGCTGGTCGCTTTGGGGACACTCTTCAGTTTTTGCGAGGCCATTCTCTCCTCCAGTGCCCGTAGTAAACTGTTCACTCGGATTCATGATTAGGTCAAGTAATATTCTTTGTCTGAAAAGATTCGTTTTGCATAATCATGCTTCATATCTAAACCCCCAACGTTGACTAGACTACACACACACTCATTTGCACCCAAGAGTAAGCTCACAAATACACGTCGTGGAAGAAAATGAGAACAAATAAATGGGGATCAGAGGCCTTCTTTTCCTCTTTTCCTCAAAAGAAATCACTACCAAAGAGAAAAGCACGGCTTGATCTATTTATAGTATATAAGGGATAAAGCTGATTTTGAGTGGGATATGTTCTTTACTCAGTAAAGTCCATCTGATAATACCTCGTTCCAGCGAACTTAAAATGTTAATCTCTCCATAATAAAACCATATAAAACCCCAAACAACTAACAGCTTTTGACGTAACGTTCCCACCGTTATCAAACAAATTGAGTCTAGGCACCTACCTGCATTATGGCAAACGTCGAACTTTGTGGAGACTAAGAGCAATACAGAGTCCGCAGGCAGTGTGGTTCTGCTGTGCATGTTGCCTTTGCCAAGAGAATATTCGCCGTTAAGAACGGCAGGTGAAGGGAACTCGAATGAGATGGTAGTCTAAATATAGCGGTGTATCTGGGTTGCTGTGCGAGTGCACACCTGAGTATGCTACATGTATAGAGGATGAACGAGAAATGATTTTACAGGTGCTTGAAAATGGATGGACCCTCTCTGTCTCTGTCTGTCTCTCTCTCATCATTAAATCCTCATTAACTAATAGCAATAATGTAACTTTAAGCACAGGTACCATATCCGTCATCTTAAAGCGTGTAACATTAACAAGCCTTTTCGGGTAATAAAACATAAATCAGAAATTTTAAGACACCAACCCCAGTAACTGTATGTTAAACCGAAGATCGAGAAAATGAGTAGAAATGATAAGTTAATGATATCAAAATAATTTTTTGGTAATAAAAGAAGAAAGAGATGTTCTTATTCTTTATTTATTATTTATTCTTTATTTAATTATCTTTCCTTAATATTGCATTTCTTATTAGTATAATAATTAAATATGATCATATTCGTTCAATCATTGATTACTGTGACACAAGGACACTTTCTTTATCATCAATACAAAAGCTGCTGCTTATTTTTCACAGTTTATTTGTTTTATAAAGTGCATCATCTTAGTCATCATCAGTGCATTTATGGATGCTTCGTTCACTCTCCAAACAGTTCTTGCGTCATTCACGTTAGTGTATATCCCTGTAATAATGGAATGCATATAGAGTTTAGAATGTAACACACAACTATGTGACCTGCGCGATGACAAAGGAAAGTCCCCTAACTTGAAAAAAAAAAAAAAAAAAAAAACTATAATTAAACGCATGCAAAAAGGCTTATCAACAAAATTTTCCCGTCTCATTTCGCATGACATATCAAGTGTGGATAACAACCGGAAGCACGTACATGTATAGGGTGGCGCTACAGTGAGTGAGGGTGACACGTGCCATCTGTACCCACCCCAAACCAAGATCCGCCTATGAACTTCGCCCACTCCACCACTCCAGCTCTGAAGCATTTTGTTTTTAATATCTTCCGCTAGTTTCATCAAGTTAAGAAGAGTGAATGAGATAACACAAATGTTTACTTCACAATCATTTTCAGTTGGTGAGATATTTCACTTCCCATATTGGATTCTCACCGCGTTAACCAGAGAAACAACCCAGTCTGCCCCGGCTTCGCCCATATGTGGTAATGCCATAGCCATTGCATGAGAAAAACCCTCATAGTCGGGGCTTAGGTAATGTTCGTATTTGTGTGGTCCTCTTCTGTCCCCGCAGTCAAATTTCCAGTTGACAATTTTGTCGACGTGTTTATCGTGCGTACACGCCAGTATGCCGTTCTCGTTGATGTACATGGCGTCTCTGTCACTTGCACAAACCCATTCAAGCAGTTTTCCCTGACTGTAAAAAAGGATACGAAGATAAATGTCAGGAAGACCTGGAAGTCTGAGTCGCTTATCACCGAAAGCCAATATAGAGGTGCAATAATTGAGGTCACAGGCATGCTCTAAAAATATTTAGTGCACAGCTTACAAACTATGTTTATTTTAGGGTCCCACATGAAGAAGTTTGTATCAAAGATTCACTCTCCAGGAACCATGGATAATAAGAAGTAATTCATCATTTAACCCCAAAAAAGAACATACAGTACTGTCAAAAATGCAAAACGCCTAGCTGTGAAACGCTTAATTGACTTTGAAAATTCAACCATCACTGGTTTTGGTCTTTGATGTACCTCCGACAAGTATAACGGTGTAAAAATTATAATAATCTTCTGTATAGAGCAGTTAATTGTTTTTGAGAGGCTTTAGTTTTCTTGTCACTGAATATTAAAACAACGGGGAAAATACACCTTCCGACAGTAAAATAAGCATTAAATAAATTATACTTCCCCTCGTGATCCAAATATTATATCAGAAATGTCAAACTATCATGGAATCACAATATATTTTTCGGTCAGCAACAGAAAACACTGATTTCTGTTGCACCTGGGAATTGAACAATTTTTGGCAATTTTTCTAGGGAACATAAGTAAACTAGTATTAGCCATGACGCAAACCCCTTGAGTTACAGTTTAACTGTACCCGTTGTATCCCCACCCCCACCCCCGTAGATCAGCCACTGTTAAGAGGTTATGGCTGTTTTTTATGGTTTTTAGAAAAAAATCGGCCAAACCTGCTTAATAATAAATAAAGATCATGGGCGAAACTACACTATCCCCTTTTCTTAATTCACTTTCCAATAAATCTTTCTAGTAATATATCTATTTGTACAGTGTATGTCCAACTGTACAATAAGTAGATGTTTCTTTCCACAGAATGTGAAGTCGCTCGTGTTCTAACTTACCTGTTAGGGCAACCTGTAACAGGACATGGGCACTTCAGTCTAAACCACTTCACCATTTTTTTAAACTGACAGTGATATTTTTGTGCTAGCTATGAACGTTCTTGACACCGCTGTCTTTTTGGCAGCCTCTTTTGGACATTTGGCGTTTATATCTTCTGTCTGTGGGGATTTTTTCCACATTATAAATGAGGTGTTTTTCAAGAATCATCTTTTTCTGGGAAAAAACAAAATTTTCATCATATCTGCATTCGTAATTGGTAATACCCAGACTTCAGCCAATGAAGAGATGACACGACACAAAGCCCACTCATCATAAGCCTTTAGCAATCAAAAGATATTCATAAATCGAAAGTAGAAACTTCCAGAACAAAGGGTATTTTTTGTTTACGCGTAAAAAGTCTGTGACTCATCCAATGGTCTTGAATTTCCCCACCGTATCGAAAGTAGAAAGTTCCAGGACGAAGGGTAATTTTTGTTCAGGCGTAAAAAGTCTGTGACTCATCCAATGGTCTTTAAATTTCCCACCGTATCGAAAGTAGAAAGTTCCAGGACAAGGGGTAATTTTTGTTCAGGAGTAAAATGTCTGTGACTCATCCAATTGTCTTGAAATTCCCCACCCTTAGACTATGCATAAATACCAACGCCACAGCCTCGCGCTTTCACTCAACAAGCAAATACTTTCTATACGCTTGCTATATTTCCGACAAGCTCTGTCATTTCGTTAAAATAACGTTCGTAGTCAATTATTTGCAAGCCACACAGTATTGTTACAAGATGGCTCACAGAGGGAGCAAAGGCAACAAAAAGAAGGCAAGTGATAGGCAGTACCAAAATCCAACTATCCCAATAGCTGGGGAGAAAATGACCCACCAAAGTGGTCAGATGGACCCTGACCATCGTGGAAGTCAAAGCTATGGTTTTAATGAAAGATCGCCAGGCTACGTTGCGGGAACGAGGGATTGCGGACACAGACATAACAGTGCGCATCAACAGGTAAGTTCATGCATAATATCAATGGCGTTAAGTGCACCGATACGCTCTAATGAACATAAAAGAAAATAAAAAATGGCTCCACCACATTTTGGTGTGCCTGTTCGATTTAAGAAATGTAATTGTTTAGCAGGTTCGGGCAGGTTTTGACATATGACAGACTGTTGAGAGTCTCGAAATACTTAGAATACACTTCGAATGCCGTACGAGTGTAGTTCGATTGCTGGCTGAAATAGGATCGAGATGCATTCGAGTTGCATTCTGGCTCATTCTAGCAGGATTTGAAGTGTATTGCCATTTCGATTCTCCCTCGAATGTGATCAGAATGATTCGAATGCTGCCGGAATGCCGTGAGAATATTTAGAACGCAGTCATAGTGCAGTTAGTATACATTTCAAATGCCATTCGATAATTTTCCACTTTGAATGCACTTCGAAAGTTTTTAACAGCAAAACATTCGTGCCGGCCTCAAGAATGGGTAAAAATATTTGGAATGCACTCGGAATTTTAAGAATGCTCTTCGAATATCCAGGAACGCACAAACAACTGTCTTTCCGACGGCATTCTTGCTCATTCCGCCTCTAGTGTGACGAGGGTATTAGCAGGCTCGGGCAGTGTTTGACATATGATAGACTGTTGAGGGTCTCGAAAATAAAAAAAAGCACTTTTAACTGTAGAATCAACGCAGTAGTCAGATTGACCCTGGCCATTGTAGAAGTCAAGGCTGTGGTTCCCATGAAAACTCGTCAGCTCAAGTTTGGGGACCCGCCGGTGTGCATCATCAGGTAAGTTCATGCATACATGTACACCGTAATATCAATGGCGCTAAGTGCACTGATATGCTCTCGCTATCATATTAAAAGGAAAAGAAAAAAATGGCTCCACCAAATTTCGGTGTGGCTGTTCGATTTAAAAAAATGTAATTGTTTAGCAGGTTCGGGCAGGTTTTGACATATGACAGACTGTTGAGAGTCTCGAAATTTTTTAAAAAGAAGGCGCTTTAAACTGTAGAATCAACGAAGTGGTCAGATGGACCCTGTCCATCGTGGAAGTCAAGGCTGTGGTTTTTATGAAAACTCGCCAGACAACGTAGGGGGAAGGAGGGATTATGAGCATAGACCTACCAGTGCGCATCACCAGGTAAGTTCATGCATAATACCAATGGCGCTTTATGCACCGATACGATTAATAATAGAATAAATGATAAAAAATAAGCTTTTGCTTTAAAATAGAGTACAGAGTTTCCAAACGAGTGTGTGTGTGTGTGTGTGTGTGTGTGTGTGTGTGTGCAAGTATTTATACATGTGCGTCTGCACGAAGACATGAAAAAACTGTGGACTGATAAAAAAAATCCCCAAGTTGGTAAACCCAATTAACACCTTAGCCTATTGGCCTTAGGTTGTTGACTGTTGTGTTTACATTACAACGCGTCCGACACAGATATCTTATTAGGTCAGATTATGCAACGTGGAGTGATCCGATAGTTATTGAGTAATGTGGCGGCCTCTTTGTGTAACGCTGATTTAAAAAAATTAACTCAACAATTATAAGTAATTAAAGTTTGCGTGCATCGACCATACATGTAGATAAGAAATAAGTATATAAGCGATACCTCGTGAGAGAAGGGGAGACAGGTAGAGGGGACAGCGAAGGAAGAGGATTGGGAGAGACGATGTACGGAGGCAGACGTAGTTTTGGAGAGTTAAGAGCGCGTCCATGAGAAAGCCAAACAGATCAGTCAGAAGGCGGCAAGGTGGGGGTCAGCAGATTTTAATAATTTTTGGTGTGGTAAACCATCAACATGAAAGATATTGTGAGCCACTGGCTTTCTTATTTTGGATCATTAGTTTTAGAGATATGGGGGAAGGTCTTTTATCCGCAATTTTGCCAAAATACAGCATTTTTTAGCTCTTGAAAAGTGATAATTTTAAATATTATTTTAAAAAATCATGTACATCATAAGGAATTATTAGGTATGCCATATGATGGGTTAAGGAAAGACCTTTAATACCCAGTACAGATTTTTCGAAAGGGCACTGTCATGACCACACAAGGTTGATTCTAATAAGGCATGTTTTCCATATGCTTGACCCCCTCCCCTTCTTTAAATGCACACTTCTTCTTTTTTGCAGGTAGTATCCATATAATTTTGGTATGTGCTGATAGAAAAGGGTTGCAAAATAAATTTTATGAAATTAAATCTGTGTTAAACCTTGTAAAATGAGAACTATAACAATTTTAAAAAGGGCCTAAAAACGAATATTTGTATACTACTGAAATGCTTATCAGTTTCTTTAACTAAATTAATAAGTCAAAACCATGTATAGGTTTGTTAAAAGCCCTTAAAACAATCATGTTTGCCCTGCAGACAAACGTATGAAGCAAAAATACATTTTTTAAATTTGTTTATGTTGTAGAAACTAAATGTAAAATAACAATGCTAACTCTGTGACCTATTTTCAACATGGCGGGTGCTAGGATTATCACCGGAGCAACTGTGGAGAAAAGCACATCGCCTTTACAGTGTTAAAACATAATGCTTTCTTAATTTTATGAAGAACACGCACTAGAGATGCTTAGGTACATCTCAGAAGGATTGGTGTGCACCAGAATATCACAAGAAATGGCCATAGCAGCTGGTCGTCCTTAGAATGTGCGTTTTTTTTTGTTGTTGTTGTTGAACCACGTCTTCAGACTGTTGTCAGGCTTGGGTTCCTCAATATATCCAGCTCATCGATTTAGCTCTGGATGTTTGTTGTAAGGTAAGTGATCATATATATATATATATATATATATATATATATATATATATATATATATATATATATATATATATTCTTACCCAGAATCAAAGGTATGTAACACACATTCAGTTTCAAGTTTTGGCATTTTAGGGGATGTTACTTGTGCCAGATTTTTATATTTTAGTTTCATATGCAGATTTATATGTGTTTACAATGAAGTTGAAGTTAACCACTTAGCTTTATGTGACTTTGTAACACACTGTGCTTCAATTTTCAAGACTTACACAAAACACTTGTACAACTAAAAGTACTTAACTTAGTAAAATCGGGAAGACTTTGTGGTCCATTATGTTGTTCATGTTGCTTTGCAAGGGGGTGTGCCAGACAATTAAGCTGATTACAATGACTGAGCCTGAGTGTGATACTCCGCTGAGATAGATTGATCCTGCTACAGTAGTTTCTATTCTGAACACAGTAAGCCTCTGTTGTTGTAAAACATTTATTGATGTTATGTTTATTTTTCAGATTTTACATCCTAGGCCTGGATGTGAACCTTGACCTGGACAATCGTACAGATAATAATAGAAGAGTCACCTGAAATTGCACAGGCAAATTCATCAGATTCAGATGTGAGCACCAACTCTGTCTTTCTATTATGAAATTCTGGATTTCAAATTGGATTTCCATTGGATTGACAAATATTGACAATTGACAGTTCAGTCACACTAAACTATAGTGGCATGTTGCTTCAAGTTACCACACTTGTTCTAAGATTTCTGAATTATCATTACTGTCTAAGGAGACCCTAGATCTCTCAACCAGAAGAAGAAACTTGGGGATCAATCAGTAATAAGATTAAAATCTGTGGAGCACTACCCATCACTGTTGTGTTCAGTATATGGAAAAGATGACCGTGATATTGGAACCTTGGAGATTCATAGCTTGATTTCACTCCTGTGAAAAGTAACTGCTTTGTTCTTTTACTGTCCAATTGATAATATGAAAATAAAGTACTCCTGTCATTGTATGTTGCTGACCCTGTTTTAATTTTCTTTATAGAAAAAGAATATAGATATTAAGATATCACATGTATTTACAAAACCTATGAATCATTTGAAAGGAAAAAGAATGGTTGAAAAATGCAATATAAATCATTTCAAGTGGATTAATTAGTGTTGCACTTGAGAAAACTGATAAAATGAGACAGTCATTCCCTTTTACCTTTAGAAAAATCCTTTGTAATTTTTTTTTTATTTTTCTCTATTGCTCCCTGAAAATAAGGTATATACACAATGCTGATGACATTGGATATGCACAGTAATNGTTATAAAAATGGGCGTGGCTCGTTAGTTTGTGGGTTAAACTGAAATTAAGTAACATATTCTCAATGGCAAATGGCTGGTTTAAATAGGTAAATTATCAATTTATTTTAAAAAGTCAGCAGTTTTGACATATTTGCTTATGAAGTGGCTTTATTGACCGAAGCTGAAAATCAAGCCAAAAATGGCCAAAACATTTAATATTATATTATAATTATATCCAATGATTTCTTTTGGGATTGTTGCCTTCAATGTGAATATCTCCTATGTATGCAACTACATTATGAATTTGGTTGAAATCTGTTGACCCCCACCTTGCCACCCTCTGACTGGTCTTATCATGGACACACACTTAAGTGTTGGAGACTTCACTTAGAATATGTAGCTACCGAGCGTCGAAGAATAAACCGTATAACTGGTCATTATGTGGACTTGGGTTTTCTTTGCGCGACCTTCCGTAAAACTGACTCGAACCGTGGAATCTTTGGATTGCGTTATCCACTAAGTTAGTCTAAAACGTTATGTCCTATTTCGAGCCCACGCTTGAATTAAGCGTACAAAAATTATATAAGTTTAGGACATACGTCATAGGTGTATGTAAAAGGTTCATTACAAACAATAGAGACACATATGGGTCTGTACATATACACTGAAAACATAAGGTCATCAAAATTGACTACCTTAGGGTCATCAAATGAGTATAGGAGGTGAGGAGTGCTTGCAACCTTCATTTACCATTGGCCTGCATGCAATTAGTGTGTTTTAGAGTGCTGCACTAAGTATTGTGTAGTGTTGCGCAATAATTGTAGTGGCACGGGAAAGCTGAAACAAGATTTAGTATGAATAATTTAGTGTCAGAAACCAAATGTTTCTGTAAAAACTGGTGTAATTCTACAAAACTGAACCAAAACAAACACTGCTGCAAAATGGCGTCCTTCTGCCGTGTGATACTGTACCGTACATCCACATTAGAGCAAGAGAGCATTGGCCCAACATTGGGTTTAACGCATGGCTGCATGGTTGTAAAAGCAATAATGACTTAATGTTGGAAAGGCATCTAACAGCGTTGTGCCAACGTTGGCCCAACGTATGGTTTCCAATCGGCACAATGTTGTACAGACTTTTACCTTTAAGAACTCTCAAGGACCTGAAACCTTATGTTTGTTTCACATTTTACTTATATTGGTATTACCTGTTGCACATAATTTGCAGTTAAGCATAATGTATTATTGCAGAAGAATTGTTGGTATCTTATTTCATGCATTATTATTTTCTGCTTTTTGTCTGTAAATTTGACAGCTTTGCTGCCTTGTTTTTTTTTTTTTTTTAGCATTTTAGCGTGTCATTTATCACTTGAAAAATGATATTCTGTAAATAATTTATATCATTAACACAGTTGAAATATCCAATTTTTTGTTGCAAGCGATTTAGCAAAAGACTGTACAAAATGTAGATAAGTGTTTCAGAACCCCTCCCTCCAAACAATTTTTTTTACAAAACGTTACAGGCAAATTACATTTCTTTTTTCAGTTTCACTATGATGAAGAGGTGGACATGGAACATGACGGTTATGCTGAACACCACACTGGAAACAGACTTGATTTCATGCAGGCACAGAGACAGCAGTTCCGCTCTCTTCAAGGTTGGCCTCCACAACTGACTAATTGCTTAGTTCAATTGACTTATTGTTTTTTTGATAATTTTATATGGATAGCCATCCACCTTATTGATATTCATCCATAAGTTTGTTAATTTTTTTGCGCCTGTCCCTTTAACCGTCTATATTTTTGTATCTCTTATTTTTATATATTATTAAAAATACCGATATATGGTGAGTAATGCCCTTATTTTTTGTGGTGATGCTGATATAAAGAAACTGATATTGCTTATCACATTTGAATCCCATTTTCAGCTAGTAAACAAATGCTGTACGATGTTTATGAACAAAACATGGGTATGATCGAGGAGCTCGAGGCCCGAGACAGCTCAGAAATGTCTAAAAAAACTGAAGGGATTATACCATATTTACGCTCAAAGATACGCCTCCCTACCCAGAAACACAAAGCCAGAACGGACGTGAGTTCTCTCTCTCTCTCTCTCTCTCTCTCTCTCTCTCTCTCTCTCTCTCTCTCACACACACACACACAGCACATAGTTGTAAGGGTAAACACTATACATATACATATGTGACTTATTTGATTATTTATTTATTTATTTACAAAATATTTTGAAGCGCTTTACCCATTCTTCGACAAGCATGTGATATTCAAAAGGCGTCCTTCTTTTTAGTAGAATTAAACAGTGGACCAAGGTGCATCATCAAGAAGTATTCTAGTCATAATTTTTGTTCTGGGAATGGTTTCACAATAGATCTAAAGAAATAAAGATAGTCTTCACTTTCAGGTTGAATCCGAAGTACATGTAGTAAGATAAAGTAATTGTTTGTCTGCAACATGTGTCATTTCCTTCTTGCACTGCGTTTTCTTTAATAAAACTGCTACATGTACTACTACTACTTCTGCTTTGTCTTGGGTCAAACTTGACAGAAATTTAGTCTAAAAATGTCGGTCTTAGGTCTTTGTTGAACGTGTCCCATTTTATTCTAATTATCTAATTCAGGTAACAGCTATTATAGAAGCGGAGATAGTTTGTCTGCAAACACAGCTGATGGTAGCTCCGAAAGAGGTCGTGGCCTCAGCCACCGAGGAGCTGATAAAGAAAACCCTCCTGTGGCTTGCTCATCGTCAGGACATGGCGGCGCCACTGGCGCATTGCGACGGTTACGCTGTCAACGTACTTGAGCTGCTGTTGCATGGCAACGCGGAAATACAACCGAGAGAGAAAGGACCCAATGCCGGAAGGCGAGTTTTGATTTAAGTTGTACATTTAATAACTAAATTTAAGAAAACGTTTTTGGTTTATCAGCAAGGTATACCCGATGTGTTGCCCAATTGCAAAATTATCTTTAAAAGCATCCCAGCGGGCAAATTATGTTGTTTTAACGTTGAAACAACGTTGAACCATAACGTTGAGTAGACATTGAATAAACGTTGGATTTGAAAGTTGTGTCAACCTCAGATAACAATGTTGTATCAACGTCAGAAAACAATGTTATATCAACCCCACCCAGCGGGAAATTAGCCTGGATGTGTTTAGCAGTAGGACATGTTTGATGGCTAAATATATGTAGGGTATAAATGTATGGCCTTTACGTTAGAATTTTCAAGGTTTAGATTAATATATAGTTGTTCTCTTATAAATAAATAAATATATATAAGAAGATAAATACAACCTTATAAATATATATATACATATATATATATATATATATATATATATATATATATATATATAACAAAGTCACAGTCACCTCAACCTGTCTATTTATAACAGGTTACCAAGAACTGCTAACTCCAGCAGCAACTTATTCATCCTAGTGTTAGCTGACCTTGCAAGCAATTCAGTTTATTGGAATGTATTTCTGAATAACAAGATAAGGAAATTCACTAGTTAAATAAAGACACAAAACAACTGTCACTTTTACTTTAAAACCATTTTGTTATTATTTTGATAAATTTAGTTACAGTATTGACAAACAAAGTATCACGTTTTCAATAATTAATATTTTAAATTACAATCCATAACTGCAAGGTTGTGTCATTGACTAAAATACAACGTTGAGTCAACGTCACATTATGACGGTGTTTCGACGTGGCTGGATCAACGTTGATTTGACGTTGAATTTAGGTAGATCAACGGCAGTTCAACGTATCAACCTGTTTTCAACGTTGATCCAACGCAACTATGCCTACTGGGATGGGCGTCTTTTTCTTTATTTCGTCCTTTAATTTGGCTTAAATTGGAATTAATGTCACCAAATGTGACGAAAGTCAGCTTTAAGTGTCAGTTTTTCTCAACACGTATCTCCTGCCTTATAGAGAACGATATTTTAAGGTTGATATAAGAATTTGAATTAAAATTTCCTTAATAGTAATAATTTATTCCATTTTTTTAGAATATTTTTTTCATGTTGGTTAATATGTATAGTACAAGTACAGTGTAATGTTGGTTGCTTTCAGGGCGTGTGATGTTTCCGTAAACCAACCTCGAAAATATTTTATTCCTTAAATGTTTTAGGCTTGATGAAGACATTGTTAATGGAGTTATGGGAGGCTTTCAGGGAGCCAAGCACAAACAGAAATTACAGGACGAGGAGTTCCGGCGGGATGAGAAGAAACAGCCTAAACTTAGTGACATAAGGGGTGGGAAATCTTTGTTGTCAGGTGAGTTGTTGAATACGAAATTGTATTTTAATGAGATAGAAAAAAGAGCAGGAAAAGATTTTATTTAATTTATAAACAAAATGATAGATATAGAAACGCCCAAACATGATTTCTAGATATCGTTTGTGGATCTCACTCTCAAAGGTCTATAAACGATTATATCAAAGCCACACATGGGAGTAACATATATTATAAATACCATCCACATACGTAAAAATCGCATTCTTGTTATCTCGTTAACATGAATAAGGGCATATCAGTGTACATCTTTTTTCTACTTTCAGGCGTTCGTCGGGTTCTGGCAATGAAGCCCAACTTGGAGCCGTACCTGTCACCTTTCGTGAACACAGAAGACCTGAGATAAAATGTGAAGCTAAATATTACTGATTAGCTATACATTCAAATGTATTACGGCACCATAGTACAAACTCAACGGTGAACAGACTGATTTGCTAATGTAATGTTGACAGCACTAGATGTGTCTGTATAATTATCTAAAAGGACTAAGAAGATAAACTTTTTCAATATAATAGTAACATTTCTCGCACTGATGTTGCTGCTGTGTCTTTCTTAATATTTATTGTTTCATTTTTATTTATTCATTTTATTCATTTATTATTTTTATTTTTTTGTAAATGCAAATATATGACTTACTCAAAAGGCTGACTGAAATTTATGCCAGGCGGCGAACAACATAAAGAATAAGGAAAAATGCATTATCTAAACAGTGGGCTTACTCTTTTTAACTTTTGCCAATAAATTATAAAGCATGTTTTTGTTTCACAATATCAAAATTCTAAAACGAAGCTACTGTTGAATAGGCGACGATGTAAGATTAACATATACTCATGTCAATGAGCTTTTTTTTACTTAAAATATGGATTAAAATATAAACAATTTGCAACACGACAACACATATTTCTGGTTAGAAATATTTGTATTTTGGTACTTCCCTACAGCAATTCATTGTTTATACTTGTACAAGTGGTTTAGTGCACTATCGATCTGCATGGCAATGACGTGCCTTTGTGCAATATGCTGAATGCTAAAATGAAATAATTTGAGTGATCCATGCTCATGTACATCTTTGTAATAAATGCATATTAAGCAGGAATAAAAAATTTGCATAAACATCTCACTCCTCTTTTTTAAAGAAAAAACTTCTGTATCTTTAACCCGGAAGAATTTATAGATAATTGCTATCATTTACGGTATAATTCTATGAACTAGGAATGTACAAAGAGTTTAATGCTTTGTAGGTGTGTCATCATTATCATTTATTCGTATCTCTGTGCATTTACACCAGATCAGTCTGGCGTATACATGTAAGTATGATAACAAAGTTATCAAGGTGTACATTTTGCCGTTTGCCTCGTTTGGAGCATTCCTTATCTCATGCAGTACACTCTCTTGTACTTGGTTGCTGTTTTCTATCACTGAAGACTTGGCGGTCGAGGTGGCTGATTCGTTGTCTAACCCAGAAGTGTTTGTTTCGCGATGCCTCTCATCCAAAGCCAAAGCAGCGTCTGTGCCACGGACAGCATACATTTTAAAATTTTTTCTTGCACTGTTTCAGACGGTGAGTCAAATCTGCTTTAAACATTGTCAAATGCTATGGTATCGTTATCCTCATGATCAGACGGGTCCATTTCATTATGCAGGCGATCTTCTTCGTCGTCAGAGTAAAACGAACGACACACCCTTTTAAATTCTTCTGTTCTGTCAGACAATTCATCAAACCGTTTTCGTGGGGTGTTGGAGCAGCGATCCTCGTTGACATTTCGGTACGATTTCATTGAGCTGAAAACATATGTTGAATTTTCAGTTACTCCTAAAGCACCGGCTGTGTACTTGTTTCACTCACTGAATTACATTTGTAATTTCCAATTGTCGTGGAGTTTCGTTCTTTGTATCAACAGAGACACCCGATTGTGACGCTGTGCCTATATTAGGCGAGACTCTCTGCTGTGAAAATGTTTCAGTAGCTGCGGTAGTTAAGACAGTGGCTTGCGGCTCTACTGCATTCTTTGCATCGCCCTTGACTGGAAATTGCTGCAGCGTGTCGCTCATTTTTTTCAGCAATGCCTAGCAGGTATACATTGGCGAGGTTCTATTTACCGTGTTGGACGATAGTATTGGTAAAGGGGAAGTAAAGGCAGAGGAGAAAGCCGCATGGACTCCCAACCCTGCCCCGTTTGGTCGAACAATAGAGTCTGCATGATAATTACAGGGTAGGAGAATCGTCAAGTAATCCTTATCGGACACCCAAATTAGTCGGTTCAACGAACACGCTCTGCTCTTTCTTAATAAGGTCGCGCGACTTGGTTATTTTCAGTTGCACCCTGGATTACGCACGCTTGCTCCGCAAGGTGTCGCCTGTGGTGGGGGGGCATCACAGCCCATATGGTTACTGTGGCGAAGGTGACAGGTTCTTCCAAACATTTTTCATAACTGTCATTTTTCCTCATTTTATTCATGAATTTGATATTTACGGCAATTGAAAATGTGGCACCGGCAAAAGTAAATCTAGGTGCGTTGACAGGCCGCACAGATGTCCCCAGTTAACCGCCGCCAAAGAAGAGACCCCAAGCATTAAACAACACAACCTGTAGATACTGGAAATTTGGAGAGTTAAGCAACTGAGGCTTTATTAGGTTTGGACAGAAATCGAGTGACATGCCAAACCCCTCAGTTCAAGTCTTGGCCCTTGACACCAGTAACGCACCCTTAGTCAAGAATCTGAACAAATCAATGTTGGGCAGGTATGCTCTATTTTCTACAGGCGTTTTGTGATTTTATCAACTTGATTGTCAAGTGCCAGACCTTTTGTTCCCAGGTACTAGTGGCAAACTTTATCAGATAACAATCTGACACTGGCCAGGCTGCACTAAAAGCGCTGTAATCTCAGTTATCAATGCTGTCATCTTTACCTGTATCTTTACCGGTATTATGCCAGTGGTACGTTTGATACATTTGAGTAAGGAAATGTGCTTTAATGCTTATGTTCATTTGTAATACGTTAGCATCAACCTGTTAATAAAAACTTGGAAACTTTCAATGTTATTACACAATAACAGTATAATGATGGGAGATGTTATGATTAAATGCTTAGAAGAATAATAAAAAACAAATTATGTGAAATATAAAATGAATTGATTTTATTTGGGTTATTTATTTATTTATTTNACTAGAAAATAAAGATATTCAAGTATGTATGCAAAATTATTGATTTTTTTATTTTTAGGCGTTTGTGCATTAAAAATAAGAAAACTAGCATGAATAACCAAAACGAAGGCGGACCTACCTCCTGCCCTTTGCTTCTGAAAGGTAAGGTAGATGTCATGGTGGAGTTAAATGACATATTCCACTGTCCTTTGAAGTAGATGGCATTGGCCAAAACAAAGACAGTGCTTTTGGTAATTGTTCCCTTTGCCATAAGTTCTTTGATTTTATCATTTGACTGATTTCCCACCCATTTATTGATATGCACGCGAGACCCTTCGGGATTTGCCATGAAATCCACAGACTCAGGTACTGCATTAAAATAGTCTCGCATGTCGCTAAGGAATGTTTGTCGAAATGGAAAACGTTTGCTCCCAAAGAACCTGTTGGCGGATTTCAACGTGTAGTTGTTGCTTGCATTATACAGTTTAGCGTTCAGGCTGCGGAAAAGAGCAGCAACGTTCTCGTTTTGGCTGAGTGTGTCGAATTTCATCGCGCGGTTTATCTGATCTTCAGTAGTGCCGTTAGCGCCCAGCTGTAGCATAGCCAAAGCGGTGGAGATGCTAATAGGCGAGAAAAATATGTCTTTAACCTCTGGATCGGCGATCAACTGCTTGTAAATAGCCAACCCAAATTCAGTGTTTAATACTGCCAGCTTTTGCACCATAGCTCCAGATGACGCCACAGAAAGTATTGCCACAAATATCACAAACGCTGACATGCTTGATTTCTGTAAGGTCCACGTTAGAGCGTTTTGCTAGAGTGTGAGCTCTAGCTGGACAGCTTGGCTTTGATATCAAAGGGATGTCATTTATATGGACAAACAATCGGGACCGATAAGGTATTTTATGAGGCGTTTTATGATTCAATATACGCAATAAATGTGATAAATGTTTAGCGTTATCTTTAATGACATGTGTCAATCTCAACGGACACACATTTATAACCACAAGCCGAGTCTGAGTCATCGCACTACTTTATTACATTTTATCTATTGAGAGAAAAACATTTTGAATTTAACATTTCTCTTTCCCATGTCATTCATGATGTTAGTAATTGAAGTATAGAAATAAAAAAGAATAAATAAATAAATAAGTAAGAAAAACAAAGGGTTTTTTATTACCGACATGTGTCAATTTCAACGGATACACATTTATTACCACAGGCCGAGTCTGAGTCATCGCACTATCAGTTATCTCCCAGCTCTTGAGATACGCAGTACGTCTGAGTAAAGGTTGTTTACCTGGTAAAACATACTTACATCTTGTGTTAAGGGGGTTACTGAAGGCTCACCAGCAAATTCCAGTGGAGACGGAGAAAAAAAAGTTATGTCATTTATTTATTACATTTTATCTATTGAGAGAAAAACATTTTGAATTTAACATTTCTCTTCCCCATGTCATTCATGATGTTAGTAATTAAAGTAAAAAAATAAAAAAGAATAAATAAATAAGTAAGAAAAACAAAGGGTTTTTGATAACCGAAATTTACAGTAAAAACATTCTGTATATACAAGCTAAAGCAATAACAACGATAACAATCACATGAGCCCCGTTATTAGTACTGAAAATAGATTTGGGATGAGTTTATTATTATTTATTTTCACTGACCTCAGAAACCCAACTTGGTACAGTGCCGCCTGAAATTCCCCTTACCAAATGGCCACATGGTCTCCCAACCCTGCCCCGTATGGTCGAAAAATAGAGGCCACATGATAATTACAGGGTAGGGGAATCCTCAAGTAATCCTTATCCGACACTCAAATTAGTCGGTTCAACGAACACGCTCTGCCCCTTCTTAATTGCCTCACTTAAGGTTTCTATTATAGCTGATGCAAAGAGATTGCTATCGACGCGAGCAAACAATACCGGGTTATGTTGCATCAACTCCAACAGAAGACTAGAGTAAAGGCAGGTCGAATATGAGAACAAAACTCTGAAGAACAAATCAGGCTTAGTTTTAAAACATGTATAACTATATGCAGCAGCCGCCTTAAATGATCATATACCACAGCTGTCCTATGATAATCCTGGGAGGCTATGTTTACCTTTTATCACCCTAAAGGCATGACACTGCGGTGGGTGTATATCCCCTTCAATTTGTCTCATTTATGATCCTATTTCACACAGACCACGAATCCCACGAATCGCCAGGAAATGACAAATTTCAGGATTCGTGAGGATTCGTGAGATTTTGCAGATTTTCTGGCCTAATTCAACACGCTGTACGATTCAGTTACGATACAGGTGCGATAGTGTAACGAATATTCGTGGGATTCGGCTGGAATCGCACGAATATCGTCAAGAATTCACTACCATTTTTTTTGGAATCGGGAGTTCGTGGCCAAAATTTTGAACAGCTCAAGACTTTTGCCACGAATTCCCGATTGATCAAGAATTGCAAGAACTGACTACGATTATATACTAATCTGTTAAGAACTTCACGAACTGATTACGATTCAACCACGAATCCTGAAATTGTCAATTCCTGGCGATTCGTGGGATTCGTTGTCTGTATGAAATAGGGGCATTAACGCTCACTTACGGTTCTCAATCTCTCCCAGAACATATATATAATGTTTTTCTCTTTTAATGAAAAATGTTCTTAATCTGTCCAAGGACATTCTGAAGGACTTCCCAAAATAGTTCTAGAACTGTTACATTCATTACAGAACAACATTAGAACTGTAATATATATATATATATATACCAAATGTTCTAGAATAGATTGAGAACCGTAAGTGAACGTTAATGAGACATATATTATCAGGATTTAACACCTGACCAGACATTAATGATAAAGTCACAGGGGCTTGGTTTTAGTTGTTTCTACATTGTGAAATCCCAGACATAATCATCACAATCAAATCGTTATCCTATAGTTTGTGGGTGACTTTAGAACCTATATCACGGTTTTACATGTGTGTTTTTTTCCAGCATCCGGTTTAAACATTTTTCAAAAATTGAAGCAAATTTCTTTCTTCTGAACCATCAGTCAGTAGTGGTATTTACATAGAGTAAGTTGGAAGACTTTAACGGCCATATGATTACGAGGTTTAGTTCTCGTGCTATTGATAAGAGGGTTAATGCCGCCATACACTGGGTGCTATCTTCTGAGTAGACAATTGCGATTTATTTGAGTTATTTATTCTTATTAACTGGCAAGACGTTTATGTCTTGTCAGTTAATAAGTAAGTAAGGTTCACAGGGTCATCAGCAGCTAGAGATATTCGTTACAGTAACCTTACTGAATTTAACCGTCTATTGAAATCTGAAAACGAAGGAATTTCGACATAAGCATCGCGGTGTGTCCCTTCTTTTCTTCTTGTTTGGCGAAACATCGGCATGTTGCCGTAATTAATTTGTTACCTTTGTTTTCTGGGTGCTGATCACAATAGAAAACTGTATGCCGTCCGTTTTGCACTTGAAATGCCTAAATAGAAATAGATTAATCAGCGACCCTGTGAAGCCCACTTGGGGACAATTATTATGTCGAAAGAAGTAAATTCGTTTTGGATGGAGCGTCATTAAATGTCTGGTCTAATATATATTTATACAATTAAGTTCACAGATAAATAACAAATGAAGTATTTAGTTGACAATGAGAATCAAGGGAAATATCGAATTGCGATCCAAATTTATTTTAATAAAACGTAAGGTATTCTACCCCATTTAATCGCCGCGTACCATTAAACAATTATCAAAGACAGTCGTAATCTTGTGCAATGGCAGCTTGCCTTCTTTTCATGATAGATGGATGATGCCACGGTGACACCTACTCCCTTATCGTGCACACGCTTTGGCCTTCGCCTAGTTCCCCATTCAAACATGCAAAGTAGGCTGTTCTTAGTGCGATCCTGGTTCGCCTCAGAATAAAAAAATAACATCATTGCCAGGTATCAGATAAAATCAATCTATTTTAAATACTAATTTTGGTTAAGCTTTATGTTATTAAGGAAAAAAGGGGATTGGATGTTTGTTGGTGGATATCAAATAAGGTCAAGGCCAGGTACAGTCGATTTTAGCTGCATGGAAATGCACCTTAGATTTTGAAGACACCTAGAGAGATAGCTCACTTGTCCGATGCACCAAGGGAACAGAAGACATCAAGGATGAAGATACTTTTCCAGCTTTGGTTTTTGACAGTTTTCTGTACGATTGCCTTTGCTAAGCGGGATAATTTTAAAGGCGGGTCTTCTCAAGGTATCGTTCATTTTGCTACGGAAACATTCGTAATACAGTTGTCTAGCTCTTACCACTTACCATTTCGGCAAGAAACAAGCTAGTTATCTACTGTCGACAGTCGCAAATTTACAAGTTATCAGTTCGACAGGGCGCAAACTCGTGGTCAACTGTCACGCAGTATTTTGAAAACAAATCTTAGAAATATACAATTAGTGCTGCTCACCCTTAGAAAACAAAAAATAAAACCCCATAACGTCATAAAATAATAGCAAATAATGGTCTAAAATAACTCGTACTATGTTTTGATATTTTTATTACGCAATAGTTTGTATCTCACGTGTATGTGCGTGTGACATGTTCCCGTCTAAACAGACTTTAAGAGGGGCTTTAGGCAGTATATTTACAATAGACAGCGGGGGAGTGTTATCTTAAGCTAGCTCGTGTTTACCGAATTTAAAGTGACAGCTTGGAAAATTTGGGCGAAATAACATCCTCTGTGCATTCGGGGCATGGATAGCAATCTACTGGTTTCACGTACACTTAATCGATTTCATAAGTTAAATGAAACGCCCTTCTATTAATATGCTAATTAATATTATTTTTTATTCACTTAGCTTTTCATATAAAAAGAAAATACCACACTGAAAAGAAAAAAAGAGAAAATTAACGTCATATTGCATGCACATGTAGGCCAATAGTTTATATCGGTTTACCCGAACCTCTTGTACATGTATATGTGAAACAGGTTTTTGATACAAACAAAAAGCATTTTGGTAAAACAACATACGATTTTCTATTTTGTCAGGTTCATCTTCAAACTCCCAGTGGGGTGGGTATCCAAAAGGCAATTCTCGAACGCAGTTTATACTATCCATCAGCAGAAAGACATGGGAAGATGCTCAGAAAGCCTGCCAGAGTTTTGGTTTAACCCTCGCCGTGGTTGACAGTAAGGACGAGAAGAATTTTTTGTTCGATATGATAAAGAACGCAGGAGAAGCGTGGGTTGGCTACACTGTGGGAAGGTTGAAATATTCATGTAAATCCAGGTAACTACACATAATTAGGCTGTTAACCAAATTATGTTGATTTAAATATATTTACAGTCAAATATGTATTTTTCACTAAAATGTAAAAAGTGTATACATCTAACAGCGAATATCAATCACAGACATAGGGGATTAATACAATGTATAAAGGTAGAGTAAATACATTCGTCCTCTTGTTTAGCGACGGCTTAGTGAAAGATTATTGTGCTATATTACTGTATATCACTTTTTTAACTTTATTGTTGCCGTCAAAATAAAGAAAAAAAAGGTATGTTTATATTATGACGGATCCATTGGGAGACACAGTGTGACACATGCCCTCCCCGCATAGCACCTCTGATACCTCAAATACAAAGTTAAGCTTTCTCCCCCACCAATAATTAATAATTAATAAAATAGTAAATAAAAGCACGACAAGAGAAAAGGGTCAATTTTATATCTTCTCCCCCCAACGCCAGCAGCAATATCCCGGATACTGAATCACGAACAGAGACTACGGGGGGAAATAATAAACGAAAATCATTGTCAATATACAGAGTCATATTTCTCGGAATAGATAATTTTCTTAATCGATTTGGACATCCCAAAGTACTTTTAAGAATACAGAGCGCTGTAACGAGGGAGGATAGCTCAAATTTAAGGTCTGACCTAGGACCCAGTCGAAGAAGGATATATATCACCTGAAATATAATTCATATGTAACATATAAGTTAGAACTGGATATTTATTTAAGCGTATGTACGATCTTAATCTTGTTTTAAGGCTTGGTCTTTGTCTTTGATTTTCAGTTCTGTGACGGGGACTTACTACAGATATCTGCCCATTTCTGACGACAGATGTAAGATTAGTGAGTAATTCCTTACATTTGTAATATACTTTTTTCCCACTTGGGTCTTTTATTAATCCTTGTTGGCCAAGGCTGATACAGGTCAATGTTTGTTTTAAAAGATAAATGATAGTTTTCTTCTCATATGGACTTAATTTTCCTTTTCCTCTGGGTAAAAAAGGAGATTTGGTGAGTTTGTGAGCATTTGGCCGCATAAATACTTTTATTACTTTTCAAGAACATTTTCACACTAATTAACGTGTTTCCAAACAGACATAAATGCCCTCGTGTGATTTCAGGAAAAAGAAACACATGTGGGTATATTAAAACAACCGACACTTCAAAAATACGAGATGATGACTGTGATGAATCACGGCGGTTTGTTTGCGAGAAGCGGGCAGGTAAATGTGACGTTTTCACTTCTTTCCATCCCTTAATGGTGTTAAGCATATGCTTCGTTTTGTGTAAATAAGATTCAAATAGAATGCCTATCAGCCGGATAATATCAGAACCGACTTCGCAATTCTCTATGTCATCTGCGAGAGAGCTAGAGCACACAAAGGTTACTTTTGAACGGAGGATGGGAATTAAGGCTGGACATGCCTTTTAGTTAAATTAACTTTAATTAATAATAGATGATTTTAAACGTTCCTGAAAACGCCCAAAAAATGCGCATTACTGTGTCACATATAAGTGCCAACACATTAAAACCTTGAGAGATGATGTGGTGAGTACACTAACATGGAATCTAATTTTCTGTTACTTTAGGGATTGCATGTCATCATCATTGCTCTTCGCCCCGCGTGGGACATAAGGCCACAGTCACTTCTTTCCATTTGGCCCTATCTCTGGCTACGTGCTGGGCCTGTCCCCATGTAAGGTCCCCCTCCCTCAGCTCTGCCATCACTCTCGGCGCCAGGTGGTCTTGGGCCTTCCTCTCTTTCTTTTTCCGGGTGGTGTCCATCTCAGAGCTACCTTTGGTACTCGGTTCTCGTCCATCCTAAGTACATGGCCGAGCCATTTAAATCGCCGTCGCTTGATCTGCCCTACAATACTCTGGCTCCCTGTCAGTATGTACAGGTCATGATTGGAGATCTTATTTGGCCAGAATATACGGCAGATCCTGCGGAGACACCTGTTATGGAAGGACTCTACTCTGCTCATGTCAGACTTTGTAACTCTCCAACATTCAGACCCGTAGAGCAGAACAGACTTCACATTGCTGTTGTAAAGATGGACTTTGGTGTGTAAGCTGTACTGCTCTGACTTCCAGATTGTGCGGAGTCTAGCGAATGAACTCTGGGCCTTGCCAAGTCTTGCTCTGATGTCCTTCTGAGCCCCGTTGTCTTTGCTGATTAGACTGCCCAGATATGTGAAGTCGTCGACAGACTCAAGTGGTTTCCCACTGACGGTGATAGGTGCTGTCGTACTGTTGTTAATGCACATGACCTGGGTTTTGGTGGTGCTGATGGCAAGTCCCACTTGTGCAGCAAAGCTACTGAGACGGTCAGTCTTCTCCTGAAGATGGCTGTGTTTGGAGGACAGGAGGGCAAGGTCATCGGCAAAGTCAAGGTCTTCTAGCTGGGATAGGAGAGTCCATTGGATGCCTCTGGGTTTGTCGAATGTTGTCTTTCTCATGACCCAGTCGATGGTTACAAGGAAGAGAATTGGGGACAAGATACAGCCTTGACGTACACCTGAATCCACTGGGAACCACTCCGTCAGGGTATTGTCCAAGATAGCACTACATTGGAAGTGGTTGTAGAACATGCTGATTAGAGTGGTAATCTTAGGTGGTACCCCAGCGAGCACTCAACGTTGATTCAACATTGAGGATAGGTTGAGATGATGTTGATCCATCAATATTGATAGATCAACAAGATCTCAACATTGAATCAACCTTTTCTTGTCAACCAATTTTCAATGTTGATAGATCAACAGGGTCTCAACATTGATTTAACCTTTCTTTGTCAATCAATTTTCAATGTTGATAGATCAACAGGATTTCAACATTGAATCAACCTGTGTTTGTAAACCCTTTGTCAATGTTGACATATCAACTGGATCTCAACATTGGGTCAACCTTAACCTTATAACCTTAATCATAACCTTGATAATAGTTTTAAATGATTATCTCAATAGAGAGGTATGCATAGGGGTTAATACCCCTCACAAAACTTTGCCGATGACTTGCCCTTCTTAGGGAAGTTTCTTGAGAAAATGGCATGTATACAACTGAATAACTATCTAGCTCAAAACAGTCTATATGGCAAGTTTCAATCAGCTTATAGAGAAGGACATAGCACAGAAACAGCTCTCCTAAGGGTTCATAATGACATCATGCTTTCTTTAGACAAACAAAAAGATGTTATTTTAGTCCTTTTAGATCTGTCTGCTGCATTCGACACCATTGACCACAACATACTTCTGCACAGACTACAGTACCGATTTGGAGTAAAAGATTTAGCACTTAATTGGTTAACCTCATATCTAAAAGATCGAACACAAAAGGTGTCAATTGAGTCGTTGCTATCAGAGCCCACTATTTTAGAGTATGGTGTCCCTCAGGGGTCTGTGCTAGGTCCATTGCTCTTTTCATTGTATATGCTACCAGTAGAAGACATTATAGTTAAACATGGTCTCAACACTGTCATTTTTGCTGATGACACTCAAATTTATGTCACAAGTGAAAGTAATCGCTCCATGGCTATCACCTCAATAGAAACTTGTCTAGTTGAGATCCGAAATTGGATGAAAACAAACATGCTAGCACTAAATGATGGAAAAACTGAACTAATATGGTTTACATCAAGGTCTAAGTCAGACAGGGGAAATGCAATGAAATCTGATATTTGTATCGGTGGTGTCAACATCAATCCATCTAGCTATGTGAAAGATTTAGGTGTCACCTTTGATCAGTATGCAACTATGGATAGACGGATCTCTGAAATTTGCAAATCGGCATCATACTCACTTTGGCGAATTAGTAAGATACGTGACTTACTGGACAAAACTTCAACTGAAAAACTAGTCCATGCTTTCATTACTTCTAAGCTTGATTATTGCAACAGTCTCTTATATGGTTTAGGCAAAAATCATCTGAACAAACTTCAATTAATTCAAAATTCTGNCAAATTCAACTTAATTTCAACGTTGATTCAACATTCATAGTCAACGTCATATCAACATAGTTTCAACGTTGACCGTCAACACTGATTCAACATTGATACCTCAAGGTTGATTCAACCTTGATGGCTCAACGTTGATTCAACTTCCATAGTCAACGTCATATCAACATAGTTTCAATGTTGACCATCAACGTTGATTCAACATTGATACCACAAGGTTGATTCAACATTGATGGTTCAACGTTGATTCAACTTTCATAGTCAACGTCATATCAACACAGTTTCAACGTTGACCATCAACGTTGATTCAACATTGATTCAATGTTGATTTGCCCGCTGGGACACCATATGACAGCAGTATTTTCCACAATGTCTCCCGGTGCACACTGTCAAAGGCTTTCTTGAAGTCGACAAAGTTGATGTAAAGAGGCGTGTTCCACTCCAGGCACTGCTCGATGATGTTGCGCAGGGCGTAGATCTGGTCAATGCATCCCCTTCCTTTCTGGAAACCTGCTTGCTCCTCTCTGAGTCTGGAGTCAATGGCTCGGTCAATACGCTTTAGCAGAACTCGACAGAAGATCTTGCTGGGGATGGATAGGAGAGTGATCCCACGCCAGTTGTCACATTCGTGGAGGTTGCCTTTCTTGGGGAGCTTTACAATGAGACCCTTTGTCCAATCGTCTGGTATCGTGTCCTTCTCCCAGATGGTACTGAAGAGGTCAGTCAGCAAGTTTGTGGCCATGCCAACATCAGCTTTCAGCATTTCTGCATGGATGTTGTCAATGCCAGAAGCTTTGCCGTTTTTCATAGCAATGATAGCATTCCTGACTTCCTCTCTGGTGGGCGGATCTGTGTTGATGTCCAGGATACCATCTGTGGGTGTGAGATTAGCTGGTTCACTGGGGTCAGGGTGGTTAAGGACCTCCTTGAAGTGCTGAACCCACCGTGCTGCTTGCTCACGCTCTGTGGACAGAGTGTTACCGTTCCTGTCTTTCACCAGAGCAGAATGGCTGTTGTTGTGGCTTCCGCTAAGCTGTTTGGTGATCTTGTAGACAGTACCCATGTCACCTTGTGCTGCAGCCTGTTCAGCCTCACTAGCTAGCTTTTCCACAAAGACTCTCTTGTCACTCCTAGCACTTTTCTTCACCTCCTTATCCTTGCTCTTGTAGGCTGCTCTGTCTTGTTCTACGAGCCTAGGTGATTTGGTATTCAACAGCTTCTCTTTCAGGATTCTCCTTTCATCAATAAGCTTCCATGTTTCTGGTGTTACCCATTCCTTGTTCTTCTTCTTGAAGCCAAGGACTGCTTCTGCTGTGGTGCAGTAAGTACTCTTGATGGTATCCCATTTCTGGCTGACATTGTTTGCTTCAATCCTATCTTCTCCTGCTAGAGCGCTGAAACAGTTCTTCAGGTCGAGAACAAATGCAGTCTTGGTACGAGGACACTTGAGTTTGGAGATGTCCAGTTGTTTCCGTTTCCGTTGTTGACTCTGTGGAATGACCTTCCGGAGTTTCAGCCTGATGGAGGAGGCGACAAGGAAGTGGTCACTGTTGGCATCAGCTCCCCGGTAAACTCGAACATCTTTAAGGGACTTTCGCCACTTGCCATTGATAATGATGTGGTCGATCTGGTTTGTTGTGGTTCCATCAGGTGATGTCCAAGTGAGCTTATGAATGGTCTTTTGCGGGAAAATGGTTCCTCCAATGACCAGCCTGTTGTTCATACAGAAGTCAACCAGGTGTTCACCGTTCTCATTCATCATCCCACATCCATGGGGTCCCATCACTCTCTCAGAGTTAGAATTGTCAGCTCCCACTTTTGCATTAAGGTCACCAATGACTAGGAGTAGGTCGTGCTGTGGGACTCTTGATACTGCCACTTGTAGTTGCTCATACCAGTCATCCTTCACATCAGCCTCAGCGTCGTTAGTTGGTGCGTAGCACTGAATGATAGTGAGCTTACAGTACTTTGAGTCAAAACGCGCTCTAACAATCCGCTCACTGATAGGCTCCCATTCCATGAGAGTTCTGGCCTTCTCTCGAGAGAGAATGATGGATACCCCATGACTGTGTGTGCTCTCGTGTACAGAGTACAGGATAAGTGAGCCGAGCTGAGCAGTCATTGTGTCAGAGTTTATTTCAATTCCATAATAGTGATTACAGTAGTGGGTGTGACTGTTTTCTCGTTATTTATAGGGACTCCTATTTCCTTACATAACAACAAGAAGTTATTTAATGCAGTGTTACAGTCATAAGATTATGTACTGTATGTGTGCATTTATTCCACCTAACGTAAGAAGATTAGATACAATTATAACGTCAGAAAATACAATAGAGGGAGTGTGATAATGATAGGGTCGCTAAACGATTTTGACGGAATATAGTGACTAGCCTTATCCTCTTGTCGCCTGGGTAGGCACGCCCCCTTAGAGTACTTATGTAAACAAAAGGTCTTCCATAGAGAACTATCCTTTTGTTCAACAGCTTCGCGCGTGCAGCGGATTATGTATATAGTGACGCTATACAGCTAAATGCAGTTAAATCTGTAAAAACTGTTATTTAATTTATTCTGCTGTCGGACGTTGTGGGCCAGCCCAATGGTTCATTCACTCATTCTTTTCTGAAGATTGGTGATGCATATTTCGAATGCTTAATTATTTGCCCTCCTTCTTACAAGAGAAAGGAAAA